GCACTTAAAATTTGCAGTCTGGGGGTAGCCCCACTGCAAGGATTAAGATTTTATTTGCCCAGAGTTCTTCTTTAAAGTTACCTTTCAGTTTTCATTGAACATAAAAGCATATCTAAAACCAAGAACAAAAATGTAATATATTGCAGCTTATTAGTTTTTAGATGTGGTGGTGGCATTAGTTTTCTTTTGACAGGATTCTTTTTTTCTTTATAATCACCTGGTGATCCTACAAGTAACATACATCCTGTCCTAAGGTGGTAATATGTACTCATGGTACTGTATCTATTGAGGAGCAGTGTTGCCACACAAAGACCAGACTACAGAACACTTTCCTTTCTCCTTATATCCATAACAAAGGGGTAGTGCATTCTGCAGTCCATAAAGAAAACTGGGGAAATTTGCTAACTGATAACAGAAAGCAGAGGCAGAATGCACAGGAAGTTACCAGCTTTCTGGCAGCATCAACAGGTACTCTATGAGTCCAATGGCCAACCCAAAGAACACACTTGGCAAGTTGACAAAGCTTCTGCTATTGAAGAGGAACTGTACCCATATCTTTAAAATAACAACAAACACACCTTTAGAAATGTTTAGTAATGACAATCTACAAACACATACTTCTAGATGTGAAAGCTTTGCACTCCTTAGTTCTCGTTTCTTCCCCAGTCTTCTCACAGTGGCCATATTTACTAAGGGCAGATTACTAGATCTCCATTTACTTCCTGAAAATTTGGCACATGTGACTAGACAGGTGACTAGGACATGTGACCATGCACATCATCTCAGGGGAGGAAAATACCTTTCCCTGAGATCTTGTGAGATTACAGATGAGATTTCCCAGCAATGCTCTTATTGTTATTATTAATCATCATACATAGAGGGAAGCTTTGGTAGAATTCGATTTTTGAATGTAAAGGTCCGCTTTAAGTCTGCCACAGGAAGTGATGTTACAGTCAAGAAATTTTGCAACAGATTGGTTGAGGGAAATGTATACAGTGAGGCATGATGCCAAACATAAATAAAAATAGATTTTGGGTTTACATACAATTGAAGATTAAGATTATTGCAAAAGCAAAACAGTGACTAGTGTTTTTTAAGGGCCAGGTCGACACAAAACTGATTACTTAGACTCATCTACCTTGCAAGTTGACCAAATCCTCTCCATGCCCAAACCACAACTGTGATAGACTTTGCTTAGTTCCATGCAAGGCAGTAGTGGCTTTTTAACAGATTTCACTATTGTTGTCAGTTGCCCCAGTCTATAGTCTAGGAGTACTAGCAAACTGTGCCTGAGCCTTGAATGGCTAATTCGGAATGATATGTAAATTACGACATCAGTGAGGGGGCTGTCGCATGATGGGCGAAGAGGAGTGGCTGTGTGGGACCCATCGTCCCAGGTATACTGTTTTGCAGGTTTCAAGTAATGTTCAGGCCTACAATGGACTTTTTAACATGTTTGCAAAAATGGCCCAGGCAGTGAAAGGGTTAAGTCAGCTCACCCAATACGAGTGACTTAAATACCACGATATGGCATAAATCAAAGCAAGTCACACAAACAAATATCTATCTATATTTATTTTTCTAATTGGAACATATCTTTGCATCAGGATACGAAAAATGCATACAAAGATGTACACAATAGTGAACAGATATCACACAAAGCACAACTGACCAACTCATCACTTTTACAGAATTATACTACATAAAGAAAAACATATCCACATCGTGAATATGTGTACTCTACAAAAAATGACAATAAATAAATTACATTATATGCAGACAGTTCTACTTACATCAGTACAATAGTATATTGACGTTTGTGAATACCCAATATTCAGACATCAAAGATGCACCAGAAATATAAAATGTGCCATTCAACAGCAGTGTTCACCGCCGGCATTCAGTGACCATTGACCCACACTTATGATGTTGAACAGGGGTCGAGAAGATGACTGAGAACCCAAAAATATCCCCAACACAGGCTAACAGTTGGAATTTATTTTACATTTTCATACAAGTGTGAGAGCAAATGTAGGGGGAACCCCAAATAGCGTGTCAGTAATGGGGTGGAGGTGATTGAGAGGCCACCAGAACAAAAGCTTGAGCTACTCCATTGTAACCTAGGACTTTGACATGTATTCTTGTGCCATAGGGCATTTACTCTGATTCCATGCATGCCTCCCCATGCATAGAATCAGAGTAAATGCTCCCACCACCAAAGCAGAAAATACTATGACATCAATATTGTCTGTGCAGTCAACATCAGCTATGTTTTACTAAGACATGCACAGTGCTAGGATGCACGTTTATGTATGTATAAAATATTGGTATGTGTGTGGGCAGTCTTCCAGTATTTAATCACTGTCTACACCCAACTCAACATTATAGATACAAAGTAGGTGCACATATCATCTTAAAGTGTGCCTGTGCACAGATGATGGGCACAACAGTTTTTATATATTCCTAACAAGGTTTTGTTACCAGCCAGCATTAACATCTGTAGCTGCATGTACTGTGGAGCAATTCGTGCTCAAAGATCCCGACTTTGAAGTTGGTTTCCTATTGGTTTCCAACAGATTACAGCGCCTGATGTTTGTTTACGTTAAAAGGCTAGCAGGCTCCATAGAAGATGAGGGGATAGAAGGTAAGAATTCAGTGCCCCTGTTGTACACTGTGAAGATGAATTTCTCCACAATGTGTATAGTTATAGCGGTGGATAAGGTTTTAATGCTTTTACTGCCTACTCAGAATATGTAAATGCTTTAATGTGCATAGTTTGGGCACAGGTTCACTTTGTATATTTGAAATGTAAAGTGTATGCTAATCAGGTACTTGTTACCTTTGCTCCAATGCAAGGCTCTAATGCAAAAACACCATAAGATACTTGCTGTTACTTTCATTACACAGAAAAGTTTATTCTGTGCCACTTTCTGATTACGTTTTTACTGCTATTCCACTGTCCACTAAGGCTGCTCCAATGACCAATAAAGGCCTGCATATTGGTAAGGGGGGCGGTGGTTGGTTGAGCTTAGCCATCAAGCCGGGAAAAGTCAAGCCCCAGCCACAAAGTAAAACTAAATCAGAGAGGGGCTTTTCTGACAAATAAAAGTATTTCTGTGATGTCTTCTCAGGATATCTACTTTTAAAAATGTGCAATTAAGAAAGATTAATTTTAAATATTAATTTATTTATATTTTATTTTAACCTGATGGGTTTTGATGAAAACCTTGGCTGAACATGCCCTTCTTGGTGGGTCAGATGTGTGTGTATTAGTACGAAGGAAGTGAAAGCCAAAAAACAGCTGTGACCCTGAACCATCAAACTTCTATATAAAATTGTTAGCTATTACTCCACAAAATATATTGTATTGAAAGTCCAAACAGGTTCAAGTGAAAAACGTACTTGTTTGGTAAAGGGACCTTTATTTTTGTTTATTTAAGATTACTTTGTGATCTACCAAAGGATGATTTTTTTTTTCAAAAGCTCTTTTATTGTAATTTTTTTGTTTAAGTTCCTGTTTGAATCCAATGCAAGTTTGCTTGCCTGGTGAAAAAAAATGTACACTATGAGGTTGAGATGACTGTAAACAGTCCCGGATTCAAAAGCCAAAAGGATGTTGAGGTAAGGGTGACCTAGGCCCAAGGGGGTGATAAGAAGCTCATCTGACCATTGAAAAATACTCTTATCTTCTTTCACAGAATTTTTCGAGCTTGTTGGAAAATATATAAAAGACCTGGCTGATCCTTCTTTCTGGTCACTGAGTAAAGACACTAGCCACACTGGTGGTGCAGGTCCTGGAACTACAGAGGAGAGGCAGATGTCTGATGAGAATAATTCCCACAGAGACGTATGGCTGCCTACGGCCATTAAAATACAATTAGTTAGCAGTGGCTTGTGGTTGGAAATGTTGAATAGAATGATTGTAAAGAATATCACCAGCACTCCGAAGATCCATATAGAATCACCAAATGTTAATTTTATTGAACAATTTGTCAAATGGAAACAAGCACTTTCGGGACCTCGCAGGGTCCCTTCATCAGCCTTTGCCATTGACGCTTGTTTCCATTCTTTACAATCATTCTATGTATACAGTGGTGCCATCCGCAGTCACTTCAAGCACCCTCCCCATCATCTGGGATTTCCGGTAAGGAGTACCACAAGAACCTTGACATTTTCCTGGAAATGTTGAATGGCACAAATATATTTTATATGCACGCTCTGATCCCCTAATAGGATAATAACCTTATTATATATTAAAGCTGTTAAAACGTGTTTAACAAAAATAAAACCATTTTTAGTATACTAAGCAAAACATGAAATCACTAGACATGTGCACTGCTAAAAAATACGTTTAGTTTCGTTTCGTTTTGAATTCGGATTTGTGTTATTTCGTTTTTCAGGATTCGGGTGTGAAAGTCAATTCGGATTCGGAATTCGGATTCGGACGAAATTCGGTAGCGTTCGTACGAACGTTCAGTTCGTTTTCTGTTCTTATTCGTTTCTTATTCGTTTGCAGCAAAAGTTACATTTGAGGGGGGAAAAATATTTTTCTCCTTCTCTGTCAGTTTGCTCCAACGAACAAAACGAATAAGAAACGAATAAGAACAGAAAACGAAACGAACGTTCGTACGAACGAACGCTACCGAATTTCGGAAATGGAAATTCGGATTCGTTTGCATTCGTTATGTCTGTAATTCGGAATTCGCATACATCCGAATGTCCGAATTTCTGAAAATTCGTCCGAATTTCGATTCGGAACGAAACGAATCGCACATGTCTAGAAATCACCATTATAAGTCAGTGGAGACAGCCACTGTGCTATACATAACAGTATTTGTATTCACTTTTGAAATTAAAGACTTGTATTGCAGCAAAGTTTAGTATTATATAATTATTACTAGTACAAATACGTAATTAATTAAAAAAAACAACAAAATACATTAAACATTTATGTGAACATAAAAAAAAAATTCAGTCAATCTAAAATAAACGAAAAAAAAATCAGCTTATTTTTCAAAACATTGTGAAAATCTATCCTGCTGTAAAGTATTGTACAAATTAAGATCAAAAGAAAGGGAAATTTGTAAATTGAAAAAAAAATTAATGACACATAGACATCTTTTTTATAGATCACATGTGTTTTCAAAAGTATAAAGTAATAGTGGTTCAAAAATGAAATTATCTTGTAGCACAGTCAGCTACTTTTTACACAAAACACCTGAATTTAAAAGTCATTATCTAAGGGTTGATGCGTGAAGGAGTTAAGCCCCTACTCTTGTGTTTTAGACTCGCCTCTGCTTTATAAATCTAAATAAATTTCATCAAATTCAATTAAAAAAGTTGTCAATGACCCCTATGCCACCCACACAAGCCATTCACATGGCCACAAGGACAGGGCTGAAAAAATGTGTCTCACAGATGCTCCTTGCAATAAATGTTAGGGCCATAGCTCGACACCCCTTTACTCTGTTTTGTCCAACATGGTCGTGTGAAAAGCCTATGGGGTCACCTTAGAGTGTCACTAAACTCAGGAGTTACAAGTACCTTAACTATTAACAGAAATGTATCTTATTTGTGTATCACTTGGTTGTAGATCCTCAAATCATCTCTGAATTGGTGCTGACACTGTCCTTCCTTCTAGAGGGTACTTTTACCTGCAACTTTTTAAAGTTGGTGGTAGGGTCCCTTTTAATGTTTCTTGGTTCATAGTCATCCAGTATCTTCATTTAATTGTCACTTATATAGCAAATCGTCACAAAATGCCACTTTGTAAATACATTGACATTCAGCAGACTTCAAAGTCTGCTTCTTGCCCATAAGACCATGACATAGCAGCTTAAAATGCCTGGGTCGCTCAAGGATGGTGTACACCAGTGCCCCTGTGTAGGTATCTTGTGTAGTGAATAATGAAGACCATTATTTATATAGAAGCTTAATTCTGAGCCTGATGAAGGGGTACCCTTGAGGCCCCGTAAGCGATTGTTACTGAATGGCAATGTGTCAATAAATGGATACTTGCTGAATAACTTTTGGTGTGCTGGTGTCATTTACTTGATACCACTGCAATGATGTCACCCGGGTGCGGTCGCACCCCCTTTATGACGCCACTGCTAATTTGTATTGAGATTGTAGTCCATCGCAGAAGTGAGCTTGGAGCAGTGAATACTTTACAACACACACAGGGACCATGAGGAACAAAGTAGCCCCCCTCCAGAAGGTAGGAAAGTGTCAGCACCAATTCAGAGATGATTTGAGGATCTACAGCCGAGTGATACACAAATAAGATACATTTCTGTTTATAGTTAAGGTGCTTGAATGCATGTTTAAGATGTAACTCCTGAGTTTAGTGTCACTGTAAAAACCTAGCCGAGAGTTAAAATATTATTTCTCCCAAAAGAGAAAAGAAAATTAAGATGAAACTGTGTAGGTCAATCACTAACATAAAAGAAAACTTTAAACATATGTCTCTTGGCATGGCAAGTCCAAGGCCACAAATTTGAAATACAGTGATCTTTGACATTTTTATATGCTTCTAGAGCATTTTACTTTCTAAAACCAAACTGTTGGATTTTGAACATGTATTCATAATTAATAAAAGGGTATCGAAAATAAAATATAAGCAAAGGTTTTCTAGATTCCTTTTCAAATGTAAGAGAATAAGAAAACAGTAAACGTAACAAAGAGAGGGCGTTTTTTTCCATTTGTTAGAAAATTCTATCAACCAAAAACATTTTTATTTACAGTGAACACTGATCAAAAAATTCTACTTTGTGTGATGTCAGCTCTTTTTTTTTTTTTTTGCTCGTACATGACAAACACAAATAAAACAAAATAAGAAAATCTAAGCAGGATAACAAAACAAATAATTGTTAGAATGGAATGTTTTCTCTATAAAAAAAAAGTTATTTTACTGTACAAGAATATAGGATAATTGGTATTTACATCTATCTAAATATCTAAATATAATATAATCCAAATTTGGTGATGTTTGCAAAACTTTGTAAATATTTCATAAGGTCCCAGAAATAGGTAACATTTCATATATCCTGCCTATGAACAAACTTAGTCCTGCATATTTTCTGAAATAAAATAATATGGAGATAACTAAGCCCTAATATAAACAAAAATGAATAAAATGATTAGCAGGTTTCAGTGGGTTCTTTAAATGAAAAAAAATTAAATTAAGGCTTATTAAAAAAAAAAGTAATTGTACCAATAAGATGTCAAGGATTTCTGCATTATAATACACATATTTTGTTAATGCTAGTTGTATTTCAGTTGTTATAGCATGTTACAGTTTACTGAATTTGCTCAATATAGTGTGGCATTGTAAATCCCAGCCTGAGCAGTTTGTATTGTTATCAAGCAAAACACTAGTGCCTTTTTTTTTTTTTACGACTATAATTAAATTACAGGTATTTTTAGTGGTATAGCACAAATATATTATAGATTACCTGTTTTACAATTTTCCAGAGTAAGCGCCCAGCTGGGATCGGGCATACTATTGACCACACTACATACTCAACTGCAGCACCACGCCCTCTCTTAAGTTCTACAAATAACTTATTGCTTTTGGTCTAACCATTTCTATATAGGCACTAAGACAGAACTAATAGTTATACGGCAACTGAAATATTGAGTGTTCATGTTTAACATTTCTTTTAGGTAGAGTTACAAATTCCAAAAACATGAAACCTCAATGCTTTCCATGGTTTCAAATGAATACGCCTGTAGTAGAGGAAGATATGTTCAACTGCTAACACAGCTTGTTTTATCAATATTAAATAAAACCTATGCAACATAAAACTGAACAACCAGTTCAGCTAAAGTTATCCTGAATTTATATAATACGGCAAAAGCATTATAGCATCCACAGGATTACAATCATGGCCAATGCTCACTCCAGGGCAACCTTTCATATACAGCTCTAAGTCATACTGAGGAGCTCAATAGGGACTGAGCAACCCCCCCAAAAATTCAATAAGATGGGACAGAAATGTGGGCTTCAGTGCTTCATTGTATTTGCGTTCAACTCAGCAGAGTCAACTTGGGCTCTTTTGTGTACCTATAAAATTCTAAGCAAATTGCCTTGCATTCATAATTGTTTCAGTGAACCTATTTTCAGCTACAATTCAATGCAATTTCATAAGATTTTTCATAAAATTGATTTAAAAACAATTTCTACATCTTGGTAAAATGAACAGTGACATTTATGACAACGCCACATTAAAAGCTGTTAAAACTATGTGAAATCACAATATTAAAAAAAAAACTGTCACCTTCATCTCAAACTGTTTTGAAAAAAAAAATATGAAGGGACCTATATTAATAATAATAATAAAAAAAAATGTATCCTGCGGAACATTTACCAATTTGCTTTAAACTGTCCCTTTTTATGAGATGAAAGGCCATGTGGCATCGTATGATTACTAAATCATTCCTGAGATTCTGAAAAATTAAAATAAAAAATAAACAAGAATATGATCCTGCTACTCTTCTGTGAGCGATCCATCTGACGCAGAGATGTCTTTGGTTGCATCTTCATAAAATCTCATTTTTTATTTATTAGGCTGCAGAGAAGTTAGATCTTATGGAGTCTTCTCGAAGTTGTCTGTGTTTGCCGATGTTGCAGTCATCATGAGGGTTTCGCCTTTCAATAGTTATTCTGTATTTCTTCCTGTATTTAAAAAAAAAAAGTTACAATACAAATATCAACCTTTTCCTATGAGGAACATGCTCATAAAGATGGAATTTATTGATGCACTTTATACCAATATGCCTTCTCATTCAGAAGATGTATCTGTCTAAATAATGCTGCAGTATTGTTCTTCAGTATCCTAATTTGCTTATCTGTTATTGTTAAAATGTTTGTTGATTTTTTTACCCCCGTTCTTTTTGAATAAAGTAAATATATGAAAACAAAAAAAAAACAAATATATGTGATTTTATGAAAAAGGTTGAAAATGAGAAATTACTTAACTGTCCCCTATTACTTCTGTCTTGAAGTGACTCTGTCACCATAGTTCAAAGATGAAACCTGTACTCTAGGCTCAACAACTTTAATTAAAATATATTCCTCAATGTGTACCGGACGTCTTTGCAAATTTGCCTTTATTACATTAAAAGTAGCAGTGACATGATAACTGTTCTGCACGCAGCCTGTGCAGAGAGCAGAGTTATAGACGGATACAAGGCCAGTCACCCTGCAGCAGTGACCGGTCTTTATTTAGGCTTTTTTTTAAAAGGTTTTTAAGCTATTTCAAATGCTGATTAAATAATTTACAGTGGATGCTGCTCCTTAATATTAAATGTTTGTTTCCTGCGGAATCAGTTGGTCCCCTGAGAGAAGATGCTGACTTCTCTCACAATCTGAAGGTGTCCAGTAGCACCATCAGCTCAACTCAGACAAGTGTGACCCTGGTACACCTTCAGTTTGGAGAAGTCCGGTCAGAAATGGTCTTCATGGAAGACATGCGGCTAAAAATTCACACCTCCGACATGGAAATAAGGCCAAGTGACATGCCCAAGTGATGTAGTGAGGGATATATTTAAATGCAGTTATGTCTTCATTAAAAGAAAACATTAAATGCATTTTCCAGGCAAATAAAATACAGAACTGAATCTGTCTCGATGTCAGGCTTGTAATCCAGTGCACAGAAGTATTTCAACTGAGAGACAGAGGATCACCACTGGGAGGCAATCAGGTTCTGCTGCAATGCACATGTACTCATAGTGAACATTTTAGGACACACCTGAAAAAGTAGAATGCCATTAAAAGTCCCGTGCCTAGGAAGGCGCCGACCACGATTCCAGTCACTGCTGATTCTCCTAAGCCACCTGCTTAAAGGTACAAGCGGAAAAATATTAGTGTTATTTTCAAAGAACATGAGATGAAATAGGAAACAAACACAATAACAGTGCAGACTGTATGTATTTAAAGGGGTAGCCATATAGGAGCTGCCACTGCTAACTTCTGCTAACTTCTCTTTGAAGTGTTCCTAGGTATCTGATACATAATATGTGTTGAAATTACCACTTGTCGTTTCCATTGGGAGCCCATGCAACAGGATGACAACACAACAGCAAAAAGTTTCCCAGCACACTCACCAGCCAGCCTTCAAAAAAACCTGTCTAACTACTACAGTTAACAACAGAGGTCTTAGTTGCACGTCTTCTGTAGAATGTGTGAAAGCCGCACTGCGTCGTAAAGGCCCCTCTATTAAGTGTGGTCCTAAGTCTAACCTCTGAGAGCCTCCATTTTGGAGCATATATAGCAAAGGATGAATTGGGCGCAGGTTCGCCAAGAGGCAGCCCAACCTCCTTAAAGGCACAGCGACACCCAAGAAACCCTGTACATCACGACGGCAGCTGAAGCCTCCAGTGTGTCCCTTTACCAAATACAACAAGCAAAGCAAATGGCAAATGCACTCATCATTTCATAACCTACTGACAACACAAATTTTAGTGCCAGATTTGAACATTTCTATTACGACTGATATAGAAGAGCTGATGTGATACTTAAAAAAGGTAGTTGTCCCAATGACCAAAATGAGGAGATTTTGGAAAGTTTAAAAAACACAATTATAAAATTAAAATCTTATACTGTAATCTTTCCTTTAAATGGGGCTTTCACTGGATAAAAAGGCCAAACTGTATTTGTCAGAGTACAATTAGGCCAGGTCACAGGAAAAATTAATGAACAATGTCAAGGCAATAGCAGGTGCAAATTGTTTTTCCATCCTGCAAAGAGCTGTTAAATTTTTAATTATAGGTAATTGAGGATGCAGCGGTGTACAAATGGGTGTGAAATTTTCTGCATCCTATTTTGTAGGGAACCGTCAGCAGGGCCAAAAAATAGCACTGATTTTGGCATGTAGGAGGATTGTTATCAGGCCTCTATGGCTTTGTAAAGGTTCTTGGCAGTCATAAAGAATGAAAAGACTGAAGGGTGGCTGACCATGTCAGTCCAGGATATCCATCTTGGTCCTCAAAGGTCCCACTGCTGCAGGCTTTGTACACCACCTCTGATGGTAAGGATAGAGTCACACAAGGGCTTTTTAGCAATATAGTCTGTGCATTCTGCAGTGTTTTGTTTATAGCAGCAACTAACATAAACCAGCCCGTAAAGTAAACTTGATGCCCTGTCTTCCGACTTCTGCCTTTTCTGATTTGCATACCCGCTGCAGGTTAGTCACTTACAAAGTAATGAAGCAAGGGCATCAGAATAACATCCAGTTATATGTAAAGCAAACCTATGCATTGCCCACATTCAGCAGCCCATACTACTCAACCACCACACACACCATCTGCATTGGCATCAGAATAACAGCCAGTTATATTTAAAGCAAACCTATGCATTGCTCACACTCAGCAGCCCATACTACCCAACCACCACACACACCATTTAGCCGCTGTGAATTAAAGGGTAATTCCGCTTTCCCAGGCGGATTTGGGAAAAAGGAATTACCCCCATCAATCTGCTCCCTCTTCCCGCTGCTCTTACCACTGAAGGAACGCTGCTTCCCCTCCATGGCTGTGTACAACCTGTCCCCCCAAACATAGCATCTCAGCCCTGCATGTATTTCAAATTATGCTCACCAATGCTGAGCATTCATTGGTCAGGGTTGCAAGGTTGTGTACAGAAACAAAGGGGGGAAGGAGCGTTTGTTCAAAGGTAAGAGGAGTGGGAGATGGGAGAGGGGGCAGATTGGTGGTGGTAATTTCCTTTTCCAAAAATTCACCTTGGAAAGTGGAATTACCCTTTAAAAAAATACCATACATTTCCGACTATGGTAGGTGGAGCATGTAACTCACTCTCTTTACGCTCATGTGACCAGGCTCATGCTTGGTGATTGGTCCAGCACTGTCACATTAGGTCAGAGAGACAGTCTTCAGTTCTGTGTAAGCACTGACTTGAGTAACTCAACTCTTACACAGCGCTTCTTTTCCTCACTCAGGAAAAAGAAGAACAAGTGGCGCTGATTTAGACAACAGCATTTGCACTACATTAACAAAAAAAATTGACAAAACAGAATTCCATGACAGGTTCCATGATGAGATATGTGGCAGAGCTAGAGAGCGACCAAGGTGGGTCCTCAGATAACAGTGATTTGCTTTGCTGTCCTGACTTCAAATTTGGCAAACAATCATTTTTATAGATACATTTTTGGACAGGATAGGTCCATAGCAGATAATGCTGGGCTTTCCAGCTAGTAAGTCCAGCACTGTCTGTACCCTACAAGCAGTCTATGTAAATGTCTAATCCAGATCTGTCTTTGCTAAAAGAGTGGGGAGGGTACATGTCCAGGGCCGGCCTTTGGGCGGTTCGAGCTGTGTGATCGCACAGGGCGCAGTTAAACAAGGGTGCCAGGCGCCCGACACAGCTCATCCTCGAGGAGGCTACAGCCTGCGGCCTATCTCCTCCTCACCGCTCAGCCATCCGACATGACAGCGCTCCCTCCTACGCCCCCCCCCCCCCCCCCAATGACCGCCCCCCGCGCCCCCCTGGGGGGGGGGAAGCCGCAGCTTTCAGGATGGCCGAGAGGTGAGGAGAGAGGAGCCGCTGTCATCCTTTCAGTTTCAGTGCGTGGCCGAGCGGAGGATCTGTATATATCAGTGACATTTACCGATCCTCTGTGTGAAGGATAAACACTGGAGTGATCGTCTGATCACTCCAGTGTTTGTAAATAACTGGGGACAAATAGTACTATGTGTCCCCAGTTATGAATGAACAGGATGTGATTTACATCACTTCCTGTTCATTCATGAATTTCTGAATGGGGAGTAGAACTCACTATAGAAGCTTTTCCCCATTCAGACACTGATGATAGTAAATGATTTACTATCATCAGTGTCTGAATGAATGGGAAGCCTCTGTACTGAGTGTTTTCCATTCATTTAGAAACATATACACCAAGATAGCGGCACCTATATCGGCGTGTGAAGTCACCTGACGCCACTCATGCATTGTGTCTAGGTTTTGTGTTCTGTTTTTTATTTTTACTTTTCTAGATACACTTACTTGAAAAAAGGGACTGCATGACACCCTGACACTTTATTTCTATAGACTCTATTTTAGTTTGATATTTATTGTTTAACACTTGTTTGCCTACAGTTGTTTTATTTAATAAGAATACTTATATTGTGCCTACAAGTTGAATAGCTTTGAATAAAAGTTTTATTTTTATCATACTTTTTAATATGTTTAATTGCAGCTTAACAAAATGGGAGTCTTTAAATGGTGCGGATATTGGAAAAAATGGGTGTGGTTACCGAGGGGTGTGGTCACTAAGGGGCACTGTAAAGCTTTCTCGCACAGGGCACCTAAAGGCCTAAGGCAGGCCCTGTATATGTCCCTCCCCAAAATCATCGAGGAGTATGTGCAACCTGATCTCTAATGTTATTTGGCTCCAGATAACAAATTTAGATAATTTAGCTTCCGGAAAGCAGCTATTCTACTAGGAGCTTGCTATTACAGAAATTTTCAAATACATTATATGTTCTCCCACATTTTAGAATGTACATGGCACGCATGGGGTATGGTGAAGCATACAATATAAATATGTGGCATATGGCTAGAAACCCCTTTCATTCAGTACTCTTGTTATTTATAATGATTTACATCTACACCATCCATTTATATTTATAATGATTTACATCTAAACCATTAATACTCCCATGCAGAGTTTATTCCATGAACAACTTACATGTTTTACACGGAGGCATCTGTTCAAATACTTTATTTTCTTCAAGTCTTATTCTACCAGATCCCCACAGAAGCTTCACATTTGGCCGGAGTTCAAAGTTTCCTTGAATTCCATAGTAGTCTGCAATCACCTAAGTGGAATAATAAAAGGTAACAACTTAATAGGATAGTTTAACATTTCTACCACAAGCACGAAAAAACGTTAAAGGGAACTGTACCTATAGTCCTTATTTAATTTTTTTTTAAACAACTCCACCCCCCTTTCCTGAGTACAGTTACTGTACATACTAGTTCTAGTTACATACTTGCCTTTCTCCTCCCTTCATCTCTCCCCATTCCAACGCCCCCCATCCACTGGATTCTCTTCTTAGTGGCCATGCACACTGCAGCCCTATTCTTTCCTATTGGAGAGCCATAGTTATGGCAGCTTCCAGCGGTCTAGCGGAATATAGTTCCCCCATATAAATGAATGAGGCCACATGTGCACTAAGAAGATGACCCAGTAGGGATGTTTTTGGAGGAAATGCTGAGGACAGAGGGCAGATAGGTATGTAACAGGTGGGCCGCACTTAGCGGGGTGGAGAGATTCATTAAAGGAGAACTTGTACTAAAGATACAGTCATCCTTTAAAGCAAATCTAAACCCAAGAACACAGATTTAATATATTGCAGGCTATCAGTCCCTTTTATTTGTTTCGTTTATTATTAGCTAGTGATTCTCCCGGAATCACACTTCCTGTGACTGTGACTAGGCCCACAAAACCTATGGAGAATCAAGGCTGTCATCCTAGGATTGGACGTATGTGAGGACTAAAGAACACCTCCACCTCTTCATAACATAAGGAGAATGTGTTCTGTAGTTCATAGAGGTAATCCTAAGCAGGGCTGATAAGAATGTTTGAGATAACAGTGCAGAAGTGTAGAGGGCTGCACTGGATTTTTATCAGGATCAATGAGTATTTTTTGCACTTATAAAAAAGATATAACAAAACATAAAATACATTTAAAAAAATAAATTAAAATGATTTTTTTTTATATAAAAACGTGTATTTAACAATAGACCAAATAAGAGAAGTTATTTTAGGATTTACATATTTGTTAAAAAAATCCATTCGTCAGTGTTAGAGTTTACATTTTAAATTCCACTCCCATAAAAAAACAACATTTCTTTGGGGAGGAATATGGAAGGGTTAGAACCTCCATCTGGTTTTTTTATTTGTGGTCTGTGTCCAGAGAGATCTCTCATTCTCCAGGGAGGAGATCCCACTGGGAGATAAAATGTTATGGGTGATGTACCTTAGCAATGTGCACACACAAATTACATTTTCTTTCATTTTGGATGTATCCTAACAAAGACTGATCAATATATAATCAATTCATATAATGTCCTGAAAACCAAATCCAGCTATATTACAAATGGCTACTAATCAGGTTTAGTAAGTTTGTACTGTGAAGATCAATGCTGAAACATGATTGGTTGCTAGACTAATAGCGTCACTAACAGCCCAAGTGTATCCGAAAAGATGAACCCAGAGATTATCCTGAGCTTTGTAAAGAATGAGACACAGAATGGGGGTCTAAACAGCTACTTGGACCCATCTTTCCAGAGGTTTACCATAGAATCCGACACAAAGAAATGAGCACAGCTTAAAAATTATTCTTTATCAACTCCACTATACCGAGCCCTGTCTGATATGTTAGTATGGGCAAGCTCTTAGTAGGCCCTAAGAATCCTAATATCATCTAATTACTGCTCTCAGTTTTGGCAGTAAATGTCCCCCGTGTACCATTTTCTAACATATTACCCCTTAGTTCCTAAACTAGGCAAATATAAATGTAATTTATATTGGCCGGGCCAAAAAAATACTCTCTAATATTTTATCGGAGCGTCTTTAGCTTTGATTACAGCACACATTCGCCTCGTGGCATTGTTTCAATAAGATTATACAATGTCACAGCATTTATCTCCATCCAGCGTTGCATTCGTTTTTCACCAAGATCTGGTAGTGATGATGGGAGAGTTGGAGCACTGCGTAAAGTCTTCTCCAGCAAATCCCAAAGATTCTCAATGGGGTTAAGGTCTGGAGTCTGTGGTGGCCAATCCATGTGTGACAATGATGTCTCATAAACCTAGAACGTCAAAAACAAGATGTCTTGCTGCACTCCTAACCAGAGTAACCCCAAGCTGGGTGGGTGCTTGTAGTGACCACGGAAGGCACCGTGTGAATCACAGAATAAAGGAATAATGTCACCAGCACACCAGTTTTTGTTAGTCAATGATCCATTTTAATGGCACATTGCCATCCAATACACAAGCGCTTTCGGGGCCGCAGGGGGTCCCCTTCATCAGGCTCA